GCCTTCCGGGAAGTCTTCGCGGAGCATTCAGTGCAGTGCATGTTTGGGCTCCAGTCGGTGCAAAGTCTCACAAACGGATCTCTTGTGAAGTGAAATTGGTGGTTTTCTTACCAGCCCAGGCACCGGTGATTCCGAGGGCAACTGGGGCAAAGGGGCACCGAGGACTCGCGCGCCTAGTTTGGATATGTTTCTCAAGAGTCTGGGGCCTTGTTATAACACCCGAGTTCTGAACATGCTTAATGTTCGCATTCGGCTTGGGGTTGGAGGTTCCGGGCTGGAGATCGGGTTGCGGATGGCCCGCACGTGCATGGCCTTGTCCCCCGAGTTTGGCCAAGTAAGCACGGTTTGCGAGGTCTGACGATCGTACTTACACTCCCTGTGCTGCTTGTGAGGTTCCAACCGAATTCCAAACAGTTCGGCTTGTCCCCTCCATCAAGGACGAGGACAAGAGCAGCAGACTCAGATGAAGCGGCTGGAGCATACATCACGTATACAGTTCCTGAGATCTGTCCACACGCGGATCAGGCCTTTTTTGGAAATGGGCTAGGGGGATGTCGCATATGCACCCGGCGAACAGAGCCCAACCAAAGCTTCCAGATGAGCGTGTGCAGTCGAGGCCGTGCAATGCTCGAGGCTGCTGACCTAGGCTGGCAACTTTCAGGGCTTCGAACGTATGACTTTCTTGCTGGTGCAACTCCAATCGACACAGCTAAAGAGCTTGGCGCCACGAATCATGAAACTCGCCATTGATGGAGCTGCTGGTGGCGGACGCAAAGTCGTTTTCTTAATACTCTGTGGTGCAGGCAAGTATTTCGAGCGGACACCGGTCAATGCAAAGGCGACCTACATTGACCTGCAGCATGTCAGCTCTCCGGGCAGCAAAGAGTGTGGTGGGCGACATGTGCAAAGTTGAAGCGATTGCAAAATCCACACCTCGTGCTTCCTCGTCGGGCTTATGGCCGTAGCCACCGTAAGCGAACTCGAGACCAGAAATTTCAAAGATGTTTGCTTGGCGCCTGGGAATCTGATGAGGCGAAGAGATGCGTCTTCATCAGGCGCAGCCTGATTCTTGAAGCAGTCTAGAGTCTAGGATGATGGATGAAGTTGTTTTGTTGGATTTGTGGTTTCATGCCCTGCATGATTGACGTGCTTGCTGGTATCTAAAGGCCAGATGAAACAAATTGCCACGTAAGGGACGTGCCACTAGCAGCAATGTGCATGGCAGGGTGAGTCCGGCCAGATGTACATCCTCTCCAAGATCGGTGACGGAGAGATTCCCTTCGTCCTGGAGTGAGATGACCGGTATATCTGTTGATTAATCTTAACTTGGTGTCCATTCTCTGCGTGCAAATTTCTTCAATCAAGGCTCCTTTCTGGCGAGCTCTGGTGAAGCGGGGAGGAGCACGTGCTCATTGGATTTAAGACTCGCTTCGCCGCTGGTTTCGCCTGAGAATTGCGAACCTGCGAACAAAAGGAGCTTGAAGTGATAGGGATCTCTGTGATCATGCAGAAGCGGAAACCATGTGGCCAGAGTGTAGACGGGCAAGCAAGGGAGCATTTGCAGGCGTCTGAAGGCTTGGGATTGGAGTCCCTTCCTGACGAAATCGCCAAGCTGCAGCCCAAGGACTCCTGCCTGCGGGTTACAGGTACGTCCGCAGCCCAACTTCCGATCTCGAAGTGACGGGGAAAACGGGGTTGCTCATGACATTTCTTTTTCCGTTTCGTCACAAGCGCCTCAGAGCTCCAGGACGGATGCTTTGCGCGAGTAGCCTTGACGCTGGAGTGGCCGAGTGCAGCTAGGCAGCAGTTGCGGTGCAGTCCACCCCATTTCGCCAAGCTAGGATTGAGACCTGAATCCGTTACTTAGGTCAACATCCTCGACGAAAACACGTTCGAGGCAACGAGACTCTGCATTCGGCATCAGGTAGTGAACACTCTTCCACTGGCAGACAAGACTGGCTCTTCATGGCTCTTCCATGAGATATCGTAGTCGTGAGCTGGTCTCAGCCGCCCTGCAGGTGCCAGTTGCGGCCACGGGGCGGTGTCCAAGCCGAGGGGCCCAGCAGGGCGCCATGTGCAGTCGAACACTCTGCAGTGCAGCTCTGCCAGGCCATCCGCATCCGCTACTCTACTTGTGCACCTCAGAGGATGCTGCTTTTTGGCAATTTCATGGTGCTGTTCCCTGTGACCCAGACCAAAGGCAGCCAGGGATTCCCCAGCAAGTGTGGGCAAGCGCAGGACGACGTTTATGTCGTGATCATCCCCTGGCACGGCGCTGTGCCCGTGAGGGATCAGGCACGACCAGGGTCCACGACGTGTCGTCTGGGATTGTGATTTGCCATACATTCTCTCATGATCAGAAGCAAGAATGGTCGGTTGATCCGGACGCAAGATGTGTGCAGAGTTGGCAGAGTCTGTCGGCCAACGCTGAAGGATATCTTCCTGGGCTGCACAGACATTCTTCGTGGAGCTCAGCCTCTGGACAGTTGCTTCTACTCTTGGTATTTGTTCACTTTCCGCCAGGGGAGTGGGAGGGCGGGGAGGGAGGGGGATCGAGGGAGCGTAGCCATCCGAGCTGGCCTGTCTAGCTGCAACATCCAGCAGTTCTTGGAATCGCTCAGTCTTTGATGCCTTCCTACAGTTTCCCGAGGAAGAGAATCCCTTTGCTACCATCCGGCTTTACAACCTTGATGTCCGGCGGTCTGCCGGTGGCCTCAGACAGCAGGTTGGATGGACCTTGATGTCAAATTGCAATCCTCGGGCTTCGGCATGCACCTTGCCATCAGGTCCACCAGAGCCCCATTGAAAATGCAGCCACTTTTGGGGCCATGCCGGCTATGCTTGCCCTCGCTAGTTGTGGACCATGCAGTGCGGGTTCTTGCCAGATGCTGGTTGTCGAATTCTGTTGAGACCCAAACCTCTAGTCAAGTGGCCTGGCTCATGGTCATCTTGCGCGTTCCTTTTCTGCATCTGCCAGATGGCGTCTGAGAGTTTGCATGCCTTCGAGTTTTCCTCGCTCTCTGTATTGGCCTCAGCTACTTTCCCCTGATCTGTTCTCATGGCTCTCAGCCGAAAGCTGTGAGGTTTCTTCCGGCAGGGTGATGCCGGGGAAGCTCCAGAAGAGCGGCTTGCAGGGCGAACTGTGCCCCAGCTGCAACAGATACTATAGACACTTTCCGGGTCATTTCGCGGAGGAGTAGTGTTCTGAGTTCTTCGGGACAATGGTTCTGAGCAACAGGCAATGAGGGACTCCTGTCCGCGCCATGTGCCAATTCCCTCCATGAGTCTGAGCGCCAATCCAAGCCCAATCGGACACGGCGCCCCACAACATCCTGAGTTCTCACTTGTGCAGGTTCATCGCTCGGAGGCCGTCTTGCTGCTTACTGCCAGAGTTTTCACGGTTTGGGGTACCTGAAATCAGATGGGAGTCTTCCAAAACTGTGAAACAGGGTCAAATTCCAGAGTTCCCTGATCAGGCCGTTTGCAGTCTGTTTGTGGCAGAAAGAGATGGATGAGACCTGGCTTTTCATTGAGATGCACCGAAACGTGGCTAGATTTTTTCAGGGTGCAGTCTGTGCCATGCACTGAGGACTTGAACATCCCACTCTCTGTGACAATGGTGCCCTAGCCCGTGATGTGCACAGGCGCCATCGAAGATGCAAAGATTTGACACTGTCACAGTATCAGATACCTCTTGTTCTACTGGAACCAGCCTCGGTGCATACCACGATGCGTCGCGAAGTGTTTCACTTGTGGTCCGTGCGCGACCAACATGAGTTGTGCAAGGCGGGTCAAACAGTCACGTGCTCTCCTTCCGACCTTCTGCATCCACAATTGTTCTTAAGCATGGAGTCCGGCGTGGACTGCTGGTATTAAGGCTTGGTGACTTGGTGCATCCTGTACTTTTGCCGTCAGCTGGCTCAAACGCAACAAGTCATGCGGCATCAGATTTCAGGATCACTGATCCCTGTAATGCTGAACATCTTAGAGTCAACTTGCAAGTGTCGCTTGCCACGCAGAGAAGCCTCCAGATTGTTGCAACCATGGCGGCGTTTCTACGCCGGTCTGGCAGGACGGCTTTGCTTTGAAGTACCGCTCTTGTTACAGTGCTAGCTCCAGAAGGGCTTTAATCTTCCGGTTGGCTTGGTCAAGAATGCGCGTTGCTTCGAGGGCTTCAAGCCTGCTGGGCTGCTCCGTGAAGCTGCGCGGCATGCTGCCTTCCAGGCTGCGTTGGCCATGGCATGCCCAAGACGACAGCCCGGTAGTTCTTACATGTCTTCACCCACCTGCTGATCTTAGCATGCTGCATGCTCTAGCGACTGTCGATGACTGGACGTTCGCCGCTCATTGAATTTTCACTCTGCATGGCCAGGCTGGCGCCGCACCTGCGACGCTCTGCCGGACGCCAGGTCCTTACGACGAGGATCTTGCAAGTCCTATGGGTCAAAGCCGGACGGGTTTCACTGCCTGGCAGCCGGCAAGCACTGTCGCGTGATGTGCTAAAGGCTTTAGACTTCTCGTGTTGCCAATCCTGCTCCAGCTTCATGAACATGACAGGCCGCACTACAAGCATGGCCCACTGTAGTGGCAACAGGCTTCCTCAAGTCATCTCAACTCCAGGGCAGGGGCGCAATGGACTTGCGATAAACCACCCAGCAGAGTTGTTTCTCTTGACTCTACGGCTTCGGATGGCTCGCTCTGCGTTGCAAACGCCATTGAGCAGCCCTGACCTTGGCAACTTACCGGTGAAGTATCCAGCGCGAGCCGTTCAGCCAACGTCTATGACTTGTTTGGCCGATGTAGCAACCATCCATGATGTGCCCAGGTCTGCCCTCCGAATTGCGGTGAAGCCCTTATGAACTTGCCATGCTCTACAAGACGATCTGTGCCAAGCGGGTGTTTGTAGTACGTCATGTGCGGGAGATGGGAGGGACGCCATGCACCAGCAATCCCACCCAGTGTTTGCAAGGGGGCATACTCCGTCTCGCGGAAACACTCCCATGATGCAGGCAGGGCGGAGTTGAAGTTTCGACGCATCTTGGAACTCCGTACACGTTTATGTTACATCCATGGGTTCGTGATGACCCGCAGCGGCCCCAACCCACCCAAGCGCAGAGCCCGAGAAAGGTGGAAGAGCCCCTCTGGTTCCCTCCGATTCCAGCTGACCGTGCGGGCTGCCTGTCAGGCAGGCATCAGAGCATCGACGGGGCAAGGGGGAAAGAGGTTGATGAGGTTGTGCTTCTTGGGCTCGTCAGTGCTCTCGACTTCACTCATAACTTGGGAGCCCAGACAGAGTAAGAGACAATGCTCAAGCCGTGGGCTTGCAAACGCTTATTAGTGATGCACAGGTGCCAGCAGACACGTGCAGTTTGCTTGTAGGTGAGTTGCTCGTGGAGAAGTGTAGGGCTTATCGTTCAAGACATAGCTGTTAAGGTTGAGCCGCTCGTGGCAGAGTGAGGGATGCTTCTTCTGCCGGACCTGGTTCCCCCGTCACTCGCACTCCATAAAGAACGGCGGATACTAGCATTGTGTGTCAGGACATCCACACGCGAACAACTCCTTCAAACCAGATGAAGCAAAGTTCTATCCAACTTGCAAGCATCAGTACACACGGGATGCTGCAGGCATTCAGTTCCGCGCCGAGCGCCGAGCGCAGGACAGGTCTAGAATTGGGAGTCTGCACTGAGCTGATGCCATAGTTGCTGTTCTACAGCAGACGACTTGGGTGCACATCTTGCCATTCGGAAAGACAAGGAAGCAGAATGTCGTGGATGTATGGGCTCACATGGAATCCTGGAGGAGTTCGTCCACCCTTTCATCCCACAGACATCCATCTACACTGGCCGTGATATGTTCCCACGCCCAGCAGTGCCCGGCTACAGTGGCTTCACCGTGAGGCGGGCGCCAATTTGCTTGGCTGACTGTCTGCCTCCATCTCAAAGTCGCTTCAGCACAAGCTAAAGCGGCGAGTGTGGTACCAGGTCAACGGACACGAACATGCTGAGCCGGCCATATGTTTGGACCCGAGTGCATGGTTCTTGTATGGCGAAAACTCGCATCAAGCTGCACGCCTATGAGTACATTGCCAATGGCAACTTATGTATGCTGAGGCCAAAGGCAACTGGGAGGCAGAGCTGGGGCCTTTTGAAATGATTGAATATGTCATCAACCGTTCAAGTTTCAGGGCCCCTGCAGATATCCGATGCCTGGGAGTTCTGGGGCACAATGTTCTTTTCTTGCAGGCTTCGGTTCAGTGTGTCTATATCCCAAGTGCAATCCCCTTCAGAATCTGTCGGAAAGCAGATCTCTGCCAAACACGCATGAGGTCTGAACAATTACTACTAGCACATTCACTAAGCCCCTGTGCTATAAGTTGTGCAGGCAGCCAGACTCGGCATGCGACGTGACCTGCTAACAAGCCGCTCCTTGCCAATCATCTTTGCACCCGAAGGCCTGCGAGAGCCCGGGCTCCTTTTTGGTTGTCTTTTTCGGCGGCTTGGAGCTGTTCTGGCGACACAGGATACACGCTTGCGTCATGTTTTCAGCCGTGCACGTAAGCAGGGTTTTTCGTACTATGAACGAGCATCGGTATCCCCACGAGCACGCCCCGAACACACACTCACCACTGTTTCCAGGGAGCCTCAATCGCACAGATATTCAGCCTATTTCTTGTGTCCATGAATGATGCTGTATGAGCATAGCATGGGTATGTGCATTTGTGCGCAGGTCTGTTATTTAATTCATGTATATTACGTAGGTATGTAGATACATCTGTACGCACGTAGGTGTGTATGTCTACACATGTGTATTTTTTGTATATGTATGTATGCATGTGCCTGCGTCTCTCTCCCTCCCTCTCTCTCTCTCTCTCTCTCTCTCTCTCTCTGTATCCAGGTTCTGTAGATTCGGCAGAGTTGCTGGCATCGAGTCTGTGAAACGGCCCTAGTGCACACAGGTAGTCATTCTTGCCTGCGCGGGGATGTATGTGACTAGGATGTCTCTCCGAGTCCCGGCTTGGAGTATGCCTACATTGCTCGCAGATGATCCGTTGAGAGCGGTAGATGAACATCGCATGAAGTTTTCATTGTGATCGATGCGCCTACATGTTACTACTGTTCGGGCTCGTTCTCCTCTGGAGATTGGGGCCGAGTCTGTTCGTGCAGGGCCCATACCCTTAGGGCTGAGATGGTGTAGTTTTTTCCGACCGTTCCCATCTTGCCCGGCCAGGGAAGCAAATCCACACCAAAGAGCGGCGGTGAGCACCAGTCGTGTCAGCAATGCCTGGCTGGCGGTTACCTGTAGTTCGATGGGGCATCACCTGGCTGGCAGATGTTCTCAGATTGAGCGGTGGCAGTATGTCGTTCCATGAGCACCGCATGCCACAGATCACCTGTAGCAGAGTAGGCTTATTTGACAATTTGGCCCGGGACCGGGTAGGCAGATCGTCTGCCGCGCCGGTGCGAGCCCGGTGATGTGGCAGTTTATAGCCAGCCCTGAACCCGTAACTGGGTTGGCCCAGGGTATCCCTCAAGGGGAGCTATTCAGCTGCTGCGCGTTGGGCCGAAAAGAGATCAGACTCCAAGAGCCAATCATTCTTTGACAGGTGGCACCAGAGCTCAGAAAGAGCAAGGCACACAGGGCAGGCAAATGCAAGGTCCGTTCAAGCTATCGCGCTGACCAAGGCCTTGCGGCCTTCGGCCGGGGATCTCAGACAGCCTTCGGCAGTGCACATGGGTACCATGGACCATCATGTCCCAGTCGCCACGGTTGACCAGTCGTACTCTCCTCTCCTGTCGTCGTACGTTTCTCTGATGTCAGCGCGAGGCAGTGACGAGGTGCTGACATGTAGGCCCTCTGAGCCCGAAGTCTGAAAAGGTACGGTTCCTGGCAGAGAGCCTCTGCTGCCGGAGGCCGAGAGGAGGCTGAGCCCTGAAGCGCTGAGAGTCATAGCCATCCGAGGTTTACTCCGGGGCCGCTGACGGTGTCAGGGCCTGTGAAGCAGGAATCCGGGGGAGGGGGAGGGCCTGGGCCTGCGAAGCGTTTCGGGGGGTTCATCGCACTCCCTACTTGCGTGGGTTTCGAACTGCTTGGGATCGGGATGGTTCCTGGCTAGATTCTAGATGTTGCTTGGGTGCCGGGTTTGCGACGCCTCTGTTGGAGTTCTTGATTTTACCGTCTGATCACACACATGACGGACCGTTCGTACTCGTCTTGATAGTGGCGGGCTTGTACACAACAGACATGTGATGCTGAGTTCAGGCCATGCTGGTGGACTATGGGAGCAGAGACAAGCTGCTTCGTCTGTTCAGTCGTTTTCGCAGTGAGATGAATCCAATGTTGACCCTGCATTAACTGTGCCGTTGGAGCAGCTGGAGCAGCGCGAGCGACATGCAACAGTCCGACTAGCTGCTCCGAGGCTTTTCCTGGATGCCGTTGAGGAAGTCCGGCATCAGCTCCTGTCGATTGCCGGTGTCTCGCAGGACACCAGTTGCCGTAATTAAGTCAACCTTGGTATCTAGTTTAGCTCTTTCCCGGCCTGGTCCTCTGCCTCCCCATGGTGCGCCAGCATCCATGGAAGGCGTATTTGCCTTCAGGGACACATGTCTGTAACGATACTGGCCCCTGTCTCAGGCAGATGGGTGCGAGTGCGTCATCGTGCAGGTCACAGCCCCAGAAGCGAGAAGCAAGAAGTTTCGGATGATAGCGGACAAACCTGCAAGTGACTGAAGCAGTCTTAGAGTCCTCCTCACAGAGACAGTCCTCCTCACAGAGACCTCAACGCTTCGCTCCTTGTTTTAGGGCTCCGGCACCACGGCTGTTGAAGCCATGCTCGGCGCCGCGGTGCCTCGAAAAGATGGCAAGGTGGGGGGCCAATCTGGGGAGAGAGAGAGGGCCCTGTTTTGGGGGGCCATCGGGCCTTTTGTGAGCTTATGGCGCATGGCGACTGCTCGGAGTGTAGACTTTCGATGCGTTTTTTTTTTTTTTTTTTGG